TTCAAAAACAAAATCTTGCAAAATAAAACAAAAAGTTGCCTTGGCAAATACTTCCCATAAACTGTGACTGGAACATGATTGTTGCAATTGTTGTCCCAGTCACACGATGTTACCTAATGCAAACCTGAGATTTGACAGATGTGATTTTAACAAAAACATGCTGTAGCCATTTTCTCAGATCATCACACTGGGGGCATGATGTGAAAGTGAGAACACTTCGTTTCCTGCCTCATAACCGCTGTACGAAACCGTCAACCCTTTCTTCTTGTTCAACCTCTAGTCTGACGCTCATCATCTTTGTTTCATTGCATTAGCTCTAACACTGCTTAGTTCATCGTTTTTCTGGAGAACGAAGGAGGATGGAGCAATTTATCATTCTTCTTGTGATATTAGCTGGAGTAACGTCAAATGGTAAAACCCTCACTTAAAAAACACTTTGCAGAACCATTGTAATAATGTGCAGAAGATGAATTATTCATGCGGATATTTTTTTAATATACTTTTTCTTTTCTTGTAACTTTCTTCCCAGCTGCTGAGACTACGTGTAATGCCATGCACAACACATCTCAGTGCACTGTTACTCTCGGAGGATCAGTGTATATCCAAATTGTGACCAATGCAAGCGGCTATAAAGTGCATTGTAAGAAACAGCTTCCCACTGCAAACGTAACTGTGTTATATATGAACAAAGACAAAGTAAAGATACAGGGGCCATTGACCGACAGGGCAGAATTTTTCATCAACAACGGGACGCTGAAGATCACAAACGTGGAGAGGAATGATTCTGGTCTATACATCTTGGAAGTCTTTAATTCAGATGGGGTCCGCGTGAAAAACAGTCATATGATCTTGGATTTTCAAGGCAAGTGTTTTGAAATTGAAACCTTATCGTCCAAATTATTTACCCATTTATATTCTTGTATCAAAACTGTAATTATCACGGGGAAGGAAAAAAAATACAAACTCAAGTTCGAATGAGTGAAAGGAGAAAACATGACAATCATCCATCATTAATCAAGTTCTGCAGCTTTTTCAAGATTGTTCATTGAGAAACACTTTGTTTAAAATACCTGATATGAAGGCTGGGTTGTGTTTCTTTAAGAGCTATTTCCAAGAACTAGTTTACTTCTTCATTGGGTGACATTTCCTATTGCTACACGTATTACTAGTAGTACTAGTAATACTGTGTGACTCAAATTTACGGAAGCTGGGGAAAAATGTGCTTGCAATTATTTAAAATTATTATTATTGTTATTAATTTTATTATCGTGTTCATTTTTGTTTTCTTGAGAAAATAAGCTTTTTTATGTTGAGATAATCAACCAGTTATCACAAGAAAACAAAAGGTTTCCTCTTATTACTTGATAGAGATCAGGAGTTGCACACCAGAATGTATAGCGTATTATAGATGTTTATGTCCATGTAAATGTCAATCTTCTGATGTATTTCATCACTATTGCATAACAGTGTCAGGAAATTAATC